ATCATCTTACCAGGGAAGGAGGTGAGGCTGACTGGGCTGTAGTTTCCCGGCTCCTCTCTCTTGTCCTTTCTGAAGACTGGAGTGATATTGGGTTTTTTTTCCCAGTCTTCTGGAAAAGACCTCCCTGCTCTCCATGACATCTTGAAGATGATGAAGAGCAGCTGAACAATAACCCCCACCCGTTGCCTCAGCACTCTTGGATGTATCCCATCAGGGCTCATAGATTTATGGGTTTCCAGCTGGCCTAAATAATCCCTAGCCCAATCCTCTTCTTTCTTGGTTCTCTCTCTTATATCCAGGCTCTGTAATTCATGGGACTAGCCTTAGCAGTAAAGACAGAAGCAAAGAAGACTTTTAGTAACTCTGCCTTCTCTGCATCGTCTGTCACCAAGGCACCCTCTCCATTCAGCAGCAGGCTAACCTTTTCCCTAGTCTTCCTCCTGCTGATTATGTATCTGTAGAAATCCTTCCTGTTGCCCTTGACATCTCTTGCTAACTCTAATTCTAAATGGGCCTTGCTCTTCCCTGTTGCATCCATGCATTCTCTGACAGTGTTCCTATATTCTTCCCATGTGACCTGGCCCTTCTTCCATCTTATGTATGCACTCTTTTCCTCATTAAGTTTACCCAACAGCTCCTTGCCCATCCACACAGGTCTCCTGCCCTTTTTGCTCAACTTCCTTCTTGTAGGAAGGCACTGATCCTGAGCTTGGAGAAAGTGGTGTTTAAATGTTAATCAACTCTCCTGGACTCCCTTTCCTTCTAGGACCCTGGCCCAGGGGATTCTGTGAAGGAACTCCCTGAACAGGTCAAAGTTGGCTCTCCTGAACTCCAGAGTTGCAATCCTATTTCTTGCCCAGCATCTTCCATGCAGGATCATGAATTCCAACGTCTCACAGTCAGTGCAGGCAAGAGTGCCCTCAACCTTTGCTTTTCTAACTAGACCATCTCTGCTGTTAGTATCAGGTCTAGCAGCACCACTCCCCTTGTTGGCTCATCAACCACCTGCATCAAGAAGATATCTATCTGTAACCTTCTGCAGGAACCTCCTGGACTGACTATTCCTGCCTGTATGGTTATCCCAGCAGACATCAGGATGTTTGAAGTCCCCTGTAAGGACCAGGGCCTGTGACCATATGTTCCAGTTGCTCTCTCACATAAAAGAGCAACTCTGCCACCTCGCCTTCCTGGCCTGACATTCCTAAAAAGCCTAAAGCCATCCGTGGCCACGTTGCAGTCATGACAGCTGTCCCACCATGTCTCAGTAATTGCAATAAGATCATGGCTTGGCAGTCGCACACGCATTTCCAGTTCCCTTTGTTTATTCTCTATGTTGTGTGCATTTACATAGAGGCATTTGAGTTGGGCTCCCAATGTGCCTCTTATTCTAGCAGGGGCAGCTGCAGCTTGACCATGTGAGCCTTCAGAAGTTCTCATATTTTGCAATTCAGCCTCTCCAGGCTTTGGGCATTCTTCACAGGCCCTGGAGTTACACTGCTGTGAGTGGCATGACAGGCCATTGCCTTCCTTATCACCTGATTCCCTGATGATACCCTCCCTGCCTCTTGAATCTAGTTTAAAGCCTTCTCGATTAGCCCTGCTAGCTCATGACATAAGACCCTCATCCCCATTTGAAAAGGATAAATTCCATTAGATGCCATGATGCTTGGTGCTATGTGAGGCTTCCTTTTGCCCACGAAACCAAAACTGTGACAATGACATCAGCCACAAAGCCATGTGTGGATGGACTGTATCCTCCTGCTTCTTTCTATATTCCTATATTTCTATATTCCTGCCAGCACTCGGAAGATCTGTGTGCCTGAGTTCCTGATTGTCCAACCCAATTCCCTAAAGTCTGTTTTGATTGCCTTCAGGCTACACGTTGCCACTTCTTCTCTTCCCATCTGTGTGACCATCAATGGAGTCAGTCTGTGAGTCAGACCAGGCTGGGAAGTTTCCTGGTGACATCCTTAACCCAGATCCCTGGAAGGCAGCAGACTTCTCATAGAGGAGGGTCGTATCTATGTATCAGTCTCTCTGTTCCCCGAAACAAGGAATCCCCCATGATGATAACCCACCTTTTCTCCCTCTTGTCTGTGATCACAATATGTGGAGTTTGCCTTTCTGACTGTTACTATTTTTGGAGGAGAGGGACTCTCTCTTCCACTATCCACTGATTGTCCATCCTCCTCCAGAGCCTTGTACCTGTTGGCTAGGGATACCTGATAGGGTGAGATGGCAGAAGGTTTTCTCCTGCCACCTCAAGCCTGAACTTTTATCCATACACTGCTATGCTGGTTTCCTCCCCCTTGTTTTAGCTGGGGGATGAAATCTATAATAATTCATTGCTGGTCACTTCCTGGTGCCTGCCCTTCTTTCTCTCTCTCTGACTTACAGATACTTCTTAGCTTTTCAACCTCCTCTTTTAGCTCAGCTACCATGCTGAGTAGATCTTCACACCTCGCACAGTTGCTCTCCCCAAGGCTGTCCATAGGAAGTATCAGGCTAAAACACTCCTTGCAGGCCAACATCTGGACAGCAACATGCTTTACCCATTGTTCAGTCTGGGTGCCTGTCGCCCTTTCAATGGGTGTTGAAGCAGCCCTCTAACGAGTAATTGCCATAGCAAGTACACTGGGGAGCTCGCTGCTGCACGCCCTGGCTGCAGGATCTGCCCCGCTTAGCTGCTGCTAACTCCCTGGCTGGCACACCGCGCTGTTTGCCCGCTCTGTTGGCTCTGCTCCCTGGGGGCGGCTCTTGCAGCTCTTGCAGGCGCTGGGCCTGGGCCGCTTTGCCCTGCTGACTGCTGCCCCGCCGCATCGGTGCCACCTGGGGCTAGAGGTGCTTGTGCTTCACTGCACCGCTTTTGGCTGCCACTTTAGTGCCAAGAGTGTCACTGCATGAGCCTCTACTCCAGAGCTGTTACCTACAAGGAAAACACTGCAGAAAAGTGAAAATCCCTCAAAGTACACACTCTGATTTGGGCTCAGTGCAAGAAGGAGTGCAAGGTCCTCCAGTCACAATCAAGACCCTTAGGAGATAGGAAGGCATGTCTGTTTTTGCTTTACCAGGCACCTGGAGGTTGAACCAGAACATGCTATTTAGCCAGGGAAACATCACGCTTGGACAGAAAGGTTCCAAGCAATGGAGAAGTTCTCTCAGCTACTTGCAGGTTCCCCCAGTGATCCATCCTTTCTGTGATTCAAGCTTGAAATCTGCACAGTGTCATATCAAAATGCTTATTTTAATAGTATTTGTATCTGTCAGCACCTCCAAAGCTGCAGACCTTGGTTGCTCTTTCTCCAAGTTGATATGCTCATGCTCTACTCCTGTGACCTCCTCACTTCCACAAGTAGATATGTTCACGCTCAGCTCCTGTGACTTTCTCACTTCTCCTGGGCATTTTTACAGCAGAGCACATGGGCTTGCCACTAACCACAGCCTCCACAAGGATTTACCCACTTCCTTCATTTGGAGCATGTTCTCTGCAGGTCCAAACATGGCCAGTCTCTGAGGCCACATTTTGTAGTCCTAATTGGTAGTGAGCTGCAAGTAGCAAATGCAGAGTCAGCACAGCCAACCTGGGAGATCATGGCAGTTACCCCTCTGTTCTACTGCAAAACCTCACGTGCAAGGCAAAATAAATAATAAACAAAGCTTGCTCACACGCCCCCACACACTGCTGGCATTTCTAGTCTTAAAAAAGAAAAAAAAAAAGAAATTTTAAAAAAAACACCAGCATTACTAAAGGTCATGGTGTGTAGATTTACCAGAACAGATGTCACCCACTGACACAGACCTTCTCTCCACAAGGCCCTACCATTCTACAGCAACCCTAGCCAGGCCTTCAGGAGACATTAATAGCTGAAAGCAGCTCTGCCTGAACGCTGCAAGAGGAAAATCACCCATTAACAAGAGCAAAGTGAAATACAAAATTTGCATGTGGTAAAAAGACAGAAAGATGGGAGGAAGGATGAGAGAGGGAAAGAGAGAAAGAGAGAGGGGGAGAGAGAGAGATTGGGAGAGAGGGGGAAAGGGAGAGAGAGGGAGGGGGGGAAAAAAAGGAAAGGGGGAGAGGGGGAAAGGAGGGAGAGAGGAAGAGAGGGAGAGGGGAGAGAGAAAGGGAAGGGGCAGAGAGGGAGAGGGTAGAGAGGGAGGGAGGGAAAGAGAAGGAGAGGGGAGGGGAAGGGAAAGGGAAGGGAAGGGGAAGGGGAAGGTCAGGGAAATCATCAGCGTGAATCAGAACCCAAACAGTAAAAGCCAAGCACTGGGTTATGTAAGTGCCTCATGACCCTGCTGCAACACATCACGCAGACACAAAACAGGAGAAACGTTAGAGAGGAAAACCAGTTATCACGCTGCCCTTGGTTGAATGAAGCAAAGCAAAAAAAGGACATGAGGCTGCGAGCGAAGCGGGGCACCCGCTCCTGGAGAGGTACCGCAGGAAACACTCGTGCCCAGAGGAGTCTGGGGGCACAAGGCAGCAGTGAAGCCTGCCCCTGCCTGCTCAGCGAGGCGGGTGAATCTGGTTTTTTCCACTGAGCTTGGGAGCCCTTCACCCACCCAGCACGCTCTTGTCCACAAATGAACTCCCGGAGCCTGTTTCCAGTGGGGGCTGACAGACCCCCTCCCTTTGCATTTTTATTCCCCAGGACCCTCCGCGCCCCTCAACAGCTCCTCACTCACGGGGGGCACTTGTTAAAAACCGTCTGCTCCCGGCTTGAGAGCTTCAAAGCACATTAAAAGAAATCCCCACAGCATTTAAAATAATTGCTTTTTAATACATAAAACCGCTACTTTTGAAGCAACTCCAGTACAACAACCACCCCCACTTTCCTCCCTCCCCCTCCCCAATAATTAAAGAGCGCCGAGAAGCGGGAAGCGGCGCTGGCTCCACCTCGGCACGGGCGGCGGCGGCCCCCCCGCGGCCGAGGCTCCTCGGCGGCGCCTCGCGCCCTCGCGCAGCCGGGGCGGAGCGCAGCGCAGCGCCGCGGCCGTTACGCTATTAAAGGCGCGGGGCGGGAGGCGGCGGCGGCGACGCGATGGCGGCTTTCGTGCAGCTCAACAGCGGCGCCAAGATGCCCCTCCTGGGCCTGGGCACCTGGAAGGTAGCGGTCGCCGCGGCGAGGCCGGGCCTTTCTCCGCTTATTTTCCCCTGCGGCCTCCGGGGCCCGCTCGGGCCGCGCCGCAGCACCGGGACAGCGCCGGGCCCCGCTGCGGGGCCGGGCCGGGAGCCGCCGGGGAGGCCCGCGGGGAGAGCGGGGTCCGCGCTGGGGAAACCGGCAGGGCCGTGGAGGGCAACGCGACCCCCCCGCCGTGTATCTGTGCTCCGTGTGTTTAACTGGGGCTGCGTTCGGGGCGGGGGGGGGCTGTGTGGCTTATTCCTTTTTATTCCTTTTTAGGGAAAATGTATCTGTTAGAAATTCTTAGATTTTTTATATATTATATATGTATTTTTTACTTTTAGTCCCCCCCAGGGAAGGTGGCAGCTGCAGTGATGGCCGCTATCGATGCCGGGTACCGCCACTTTGACTGTGCTTTCGTGTACCAGAACGAGAACGAGGTCGGGGACGGGATCCAGCAGAAAATCAAGGAGGGCGTCGTGAAGCGGGAGGACCTCTTCATCGTCAGTAAGGTGGGGTGCAGTGGGACGGCATGCCGGGCAGACCGGTAGCTCCCTGGTGCTTTGCAGTCCTGGTATGTGGAAGGATGGAGCGATTCAGCGGGTTTGGGATGCTCCTGAGATAAGCTTTCCCTCACTGTGTCCGAGTAGGCAGGTTATGCACCCTGCAGCCGGCATGGGTCACTCCGCTTGAGTCTTTCCTCTTGTATGTAGTATCTGAACTCTTAACAAATGGAACCAAATTACTCTCTTTATCTGCCATAATCTTATTCACTTGTGTATTGCCACTGCTTACATTGCTCGGTAGGGTGGGCCAGTTATGCTCATCAAACAACCCCACTTGAAGAGCAATTGGAAGACCTAATTCCATGCTGGCTGTTGAAGAAGACAGAAAGCTTCTCTCCTGCTCAGGAGAGCACTAGAGAGCTTTACAGCACCACAGAATGATTAAGGGAGAGACTTTTGTAGATCATCTACCCCAAACCCCCCTTTAACCTAGCAGGAGGTCACAGTGTGGCTTTGCTCTTTGTCTCCAGCTTTGGTGCACGTTCCATGACAAACCTCTGGTGAAGGGAGCCTGCCAGAAGACTCTTACTGCCCTGAAACTGGATTACCTGGATCTCTACCTCATCCACTGGCCTCTGGGATTTAAGGTACAGTAACAGTATTGCCTCTTAATACCCTTGTCGCATAACTGGCGGTTTTGAAGAAGTTTACAACTCAGTCATTGCTCCAACCAGGAAAGATGATGTATCTGTTTTATATATCAGCAGGGTTCTAGAGCTGCTTATTCAGCTTTACTCTTTCCAGGCAAGGCAGAGTTTTGATCCCTGCCTCCAAGTTTGCTGCTTATACAGTTTTCTCTGCCCTTGCAAGACTCAGAGAGGCAGAGCTAGAGGTAGGAGCAGGTCTCCCAGCTGCAGGCGTGAGCTGTATTGCTGCCTCTTAGGCTGCTTATGTGCTGTCTTCTACAAACCCAAAGCATGCTCCTCTGATAAGAGTTGATTCTGTCTTTGTGGGAAATAGGGCTGTACATTGCTGTCTGACAGAAAGTCGTTGAGTGTTACAGAACTCCAGAGCAAGAGTGAATGTTTCTGTTTTCCATTTCTGCTCTCCATTTCTGTCTTCAATCAGTCATTAATACAGTACACACTGAAGTGACTTTTCCTATAAGAACCTTATTGTTCTACAGACTTTGGAATTCAAAGGGTGAAGCTTCTTAGTGATGAACTCTTCCACAGACTGGGCAAGAGTTCGTCAAAAATTATCATTGACAAAAATTCCCATTCTCTTTTTTGCTTACAAGATCCTCAACTGCTTTGCATGGTTTGCATGTTATTTTCATACAGACATAATTATCCAAGTGAAAGCACATTGTAGTGTAGTAACATGATATGAGGAGAAAACACTATTTTGAACAAACATGAGATACCTGGTGAACTCACAACAGGGGCACTGCCCCAGTTTTCCTGGAGCCACTGACTTCAACAGTAAGTCTCCCCATAGAAGATCTGTCACTGTACGCAATAGACTCATCAGCAGCTGTCCATAGAAACCTACCATGTGTTTCCAGGTCCGACGTATGTCCTTATACCTTCTAATAAAACGCAAATTTTGTAGGGGCATAATCAAGAAATAAAGAACGCAAACTTGTGCTTGGTTGCACTTCTCAGGTGTAGTTCTACAAGTAAACACTCCACTTGCATGTATTTTGGTCAGTCAACACGTTGTTTGCTCTGATGGAAGTAACTGTTGTTACTACATTGGTTGCTGGCAAAAGAGCAATAACTCCACATGAAAGAGGAACGGAATGACTGAAGAATGTAGACAGGAATGAGTATTTATATTTTCTGCACTAGAAGTTTGTTGTCTTAGTCCTCAGCTGTCATGACATCAAGCTAGCTTCCAAACATTGTTTGAACAGTTTTTTCTTGTGCTAACAGGCAGGAGAGGAGCTGTTTCCCACAGATGACAATGGCATGTCTATACCCAGCAACACTGATATTTTGCATACATGGGAGGTAAGCTCAGCCACTACGGGAGAATGATGTTTTCTGTCCTTCAGTCTTTTCCATGGATACTGACCAATATCCAAAGTTGCAGAATTGTTGTCTGATGTATGCAGAATTATTGGAAAGATTTGCTGGTACAGGAGTGGATTATTCAGGATTGATATTTTCCACTTCTAACTGAGTATTAATTTCTGCAGTCTCAAAGAGATTGATCTCGGGTGGGATAGAAAACATAGCACAGACACGACAGTACTTCTTTTCCAATGCTTAAGGAATCAAGTCATTTTGATCTCTCTCATGAAGGAAGGAAGTCATGCCAGGAAAAGTATCTTCTTCAGGCCCTATCTGATAATTCTGGTAATTACTTTGCTGCCCTTTCTGTGTTAGGGCATGGAAGAACTGGTCGATGCTGGTCTGGCCAAAGCCATTGGAATCTCCAACTTCAACCATGAGCAGATTGAGAGAATCTTGAACAAGCCAGGACTGAAATACAAACCTGCAAATAACCAGGTAGGCTACTAAGTGACTGCAGATGCATTTTCTTCAAGAATTATCATGATCTGATCATCATTTAAAATTTCAGAAAAAGGGAGAATGGAGTAGATGCAGTGTATACTCTTAATCTGGTCACAATTTCTGGATGCACAAGACTTTTTTTTTTTGATGGTTTGCTGCACTACTGCTAGAAAACTTGACAAGAAACAGCTACAGAACATGTTTTTTTAGTAGTATAAAGAACTTGGAGGTGAAGTTTATAAAATTGACTTTCAGTAGATTAAAATCGATAGGTATACAGGGATTTATTAGAAAGACAGATGGCTTTTTGCTCTGAAAATTTGCAGCTCTCACGGACTGCAGAGATTATGGTTCTTATCGCTAACTCGGGAACGAGGAAATGAGCAGGAAGACTTTGTGGACTGTTTAACTTAATGAGGGTTGGTGGGGAAGATGGAAGTGATGTTGCCAGAGAGTCCGTGGATCAGAAATATATGGGTATAGGGACAGCATTTGAATCAAACCTTAAGATCATAGAAAAGCCGGGCTGCAAGGAACCACAAGAGATGATCTAATCTAACTTCCAGCTGAGAAAGGTTGTTTCAGATCAGACAGACTGCTCAGGGCTTTATCCAATCAAGTCTTTAAAATCTTCAAGGATGGAAACTGCACAGCATCTCTGGGCAACCTGCTCTCCTGTCTAACAGCTATCGTAAGAAGACTTTGCTACTTTTATATCTTCCAAACCTCTCTGTTTATGCTTGTTTGCTCTTTTCCTTCCACCATACAGTATTGAAGAGTCTACGTTACTGTCTTGTAGGTGTGGGCAGGCTGCTACTGGGACCACTGAAACTTTCCCTTCTCCAGGCTCTGTAGGTCCCACAGCCTCTCCTAATAGAGCTCCAGACCCCAGCCATCCTGATTGCCCTCAGCTGAACTTGCACTGGTTTTTCAATCTTCTCTTGAGGGCCCAAAGCTGTACACAGTATTATAGAGGTGCTCTGACAAGTGCTGAGTGGAGGGGGATGATCCCTTCCCATGACACATTCCTAGGCCCCTGCTCACCCAGCCCCATCAGAAGCTGGTGCCTGTCTGCTGCCAGTGCTGCTGCTGGCCAGCATTCAGCTTGCTGCCCTCTCAGCCATGGCCTTTTCAGCAGAGCTGCTCCCCCCACAGTCAGGCCCCAGCCTGTGGAGTTGCAAGGGCTGTTCCCTCCCAGGAACGTGACTCTGCTTTTGTCCCTGCTCAGTTTCCCGAGGCTCCCTTTAGCTCGCTCCTGCAGCTCTGACAGCCCTATCTAACGGATCTAATGGGTATTTAGTATTGGCTTAAGTTTTGTGTTGTCTGCAAACTTGGCAAGACTGCGCAAGACAGGATGTGTCCTAGGATAGATACTAACACTTTTCTGAAAGCTAATGGGAGTCTTCCCTGGAAGTCTGTTCAAATTTTGAATTTATGTTTCATAAAACTTTTCATTATCAGGCTTTTGGATATATGAGAGGAGTCTTTTCTTTCAACATCTGTCACAGCTCACTAGCAAGGAACTTTGTAGTTGATACACCTGCCTCTTCATAGAGAATACTAACCTTTATCATATCGACTGTGCCTACAATTCTTCTCAAGTCTGATTATAGTAAGAGAGTTAAATTCAGAGCATTTGGTCTCAGTGTGTGCTAAAAAAATACATTTTTCCCAAAGAAAACTTGCATGCCTTAAATCTTGTCTTTTAGAAGAAGATAGTTCTTACCGCAGAACTTTTTCCACTCTTGCCTGGCTTGTATGTTTATTCATACAAGCCTGCATATTCATACGACATTCACATTCTTAAATTATAAATGCAGTCAGTATCCGTATCAGTTTAATTCAGAGAAATTAAATTGGCAAGGTAGCAAGCACATTACCATGAGACTACTTTAGTTGAGAAAGGAGCTTAATAGCAGTTTAAATATACTTCGTAGGCTCTTCACTTTGGTCCAAATATAAGACTTCATAATTTAGCTCAGAAACTCTTTGGCTGGAGTTAAAGTGGAGAAAAAAAATATGACTTTGCATTATATCCTTTGTTTCGGGTAGGTAGAATTTTGGCTGTACTGAATACTTGACAAAAATAATCCAATTAAATGCTCTGTTGCTGTAGGAATGCTTAAGTTTCTGGTGCTGCAGAGGCCAAATATGTTATTATTTGGCCCCAAAACTGAGTTACGCATTCTGTGTCTAATATTCCAGCATATCCTGGTAAGGAAACAGCTACACAGGCTTCTAGCAAGAAGCTAGAACCATTTGAAAAAAAAACAGGCTGTAAACTGATCCCCTGTTTTACAGTGTCTCTTGCTCCACCTGCCAGCAGCATAAAGTTCCCAGGGGCTTCTCCTCAGAACGCTGTGGCAGCTGCTTTGAAGGCCTGAATGATTGAACAGTTAAAGGTTCTTAACTTTACCCCTTTCTGCAAGAAAAGAGGTGCTCCTCATTGTGCATTTACCATAAAAATTACTTTACCTAAAGTATTAATGGGTCTCATTCTTTTGCTGCCTCCTGATACATAAATACTGTCTGCAATATATTGTATACTGGTGTGTTAACTGTCTAGAATATGAATCCACTGGTAAGCAGTTTTATGTTCAATTACATAAGTATACTTACGGAATCTGAGAGTGAATACATGTGAATGTATGTGTCCTAAGAAAAGATCTATAATGGACAGTAATCTTAAGATCTAAAATTCATAGCAAGTACTAATCTTTCTTATATTTACAGATTGGAAGTATCCAGCTTGCTCATATGAAGCAGATAAAAGGGAATGTAACAATACTGATATTAAAGTTGTGCTGCTTGTAAAAATATTACGACATGTTTTTAACAAGGAAGAAAAGAGAACCTTGTACTATTCTGCTGTCTTATTGTTATGATTGCACAGTTACCCTGGACGTAGATGTCTGTTGTGCTGTCCCACTTGGACAGTTCTGTAGATGATGATTTCATGTGTTGGTGACAATGCAAATCAATAAGGAGTGGTGTTTCACTCCTTGCACCACTTCTCTTGCAAGATACCCTGTACTGCAGGGGAAATACAGAACAAAGGCTGCATAATATCACGTAGAGAAATAAAAGTTGGGACAAAAATCAGTTGGGGATTGGTTTAAAGGATCCCTGGAGTTACAGCAGTTCTCACTGTCAGTCTGTGCTCTCTTGTTGGCAGATCGAATGTCATCCATATCTTACCCAGGAGAAGCTGATCAAGTACTGCCAGTCCAAAGGGATTGCTGTGACAGCGTACAGTCCTCTTGGCTCTCCAGACAGGCCATGGTAAGATTGCTCTGCAGTTGGCAAGACAGCTGAGACTCACTCATACTCAAAGCACTGAGACTGTAACTGAACTGTTGCACCCAGGTGCACACCCAGATGTGGTTGTCTTTAGAAGCTCTTCACCACTGACCTTCTGTTCTGCGCAGGGCTAAGCCAGAGGATCCTTCCCTTCTGGATGAACCCAAGATTAAAGAGATCGCAGCCAAGCACAACAAAACTGCAGCACAGGTAAGTAGAGATGGAGCAGTGAATAGGGTACAGGTTCCTGGAAAAGAGCTGCGTGGAAGCTACAGGCTGTGGGTACAGACTGAATCTTCATTCTGTGTGAGCTGTGGCCCTCCTCAGTGGTGTACAGTAGCAATGCTGGCATGTTCTTTGTGACCTGCAGTGTGTCCTTGTAGGCACTCTGACACTCCAAAAGCAGCAGATTCTCAATTCTTGTTCACATGTTGTTTTGCTAGCTCAAGTGCTGTTGCAGAGAATGAAACCCTTGCATAGACTGCTTCAAGTCTGGGTGTGAAGGGAAGGAATTGACTATTCCAAAGAGTGGATGGGAAAGGAAAAAGGAATTTTCCTTGTGGGCTGCACTTCTCTGACTGCCCTTCAGAAAGTACTACCTGTGCTTTGGTTACAGGAATGTTTTAATATGCAGGAATGGGTAATTTCTGCTCAATCACACACATTAGAGCAAACTGCTGTTGCAACACACTCTGTTACAGACCAAGAGTCATCTTGTCTCTGACATACTGATACTCTCTTGCAGGTTCTTATTCGGTTCCACATCCAGAGAAATGTGATTGTGATTCCCAAGTCTGTTACACCCCAGCGTATTGTGGAGAACTCCAAGGTGAGTGATTACAGGCAAGTTTGGCGGTGCCCTTAGGGATGGCAGTCCTTCCCCCTACCAGAACAAATAGTGATCCTTTTTTCCTTCCCAAGTCCTCCTCACACAAGAGGACTAGGCTTTTCCTCTCTGTACGTTTACATATGGTCTACTGGGGCCTGAACGAGCAGCTGCCGTTCACAAAGCAGAAGTGAACGAAGCTCTTGGAAAAGGGCCACTGGTGACCTTCACAGTCGCCTTCTTTATGCTTCCTGTTCTGGTGCTTGTGCATGAATCAGCAGGCAGGACTCACTTGAAGCCAAGTGCAGCACATTTTTAATACATTTAAAAAGTCATACAAACCAACATTAAGAAACTAGTTGTGTGCATACACAAAGTTGTTCCTCTGTGAATTCAGCCATCCCTGAGTGACTTTGGAGTAGGACAGATGGAAGCTCCACAGATGTAGGCACGCTGCAGCACTAACTGTTCACCTGGTTGCTTGCAACAGCAGATAACTTTTGTGGGGGATCAGCAGATGTTTTCCTCCCACTGCCAGTGAAGTCTTGGAAATGCCTATAGACTTCTACCTTTCCCTCTTGCATAAGGCCATCACTTCGAATCAGCACACCTCCACTGTGGACTTGCTCTTGAACCTCGTGAATCTCAATCTTTGGTTTGCTCCAAGAGGTAACTTGTAGCTGTTTCTCCTGTTAGGTGTTTGACTTTGAATTGACTAAAGAGGAGATGACAACTATTCTCAGCTTCAACAGAAACTGGAGAGCCTGTGCAATGAGCACGTGAGTGCCTTTTTTTTTCCCCTCCCTCCTTCCCCTGCAAGCTTTTAAGTTATACCTTGTGTAGGGATTTTTTTTTTTTTTTTTTTGTTCTTTTGCGTGGAAAGCTAGGCTTGAGCAGAGTACTAGCCATACTAGAGAAATGAGCAGGAGACAGACTCGACTTTTGTGGATATTTTTGCTTATGGAATTTATTGGGACTTTCTTCCATGCCATGTAGCGTGTTTAAAAACTGTCAGTGTGATACAAAGTGGGTGAACACCTTAAGTACACAAGAATGGTCAACTTGGAAGCCTAGAACCAGATAAGAAGCCTTTGTTAGGACACAGAAAGGCCTTTCAGTTAGTAAACAACATTAACTTATCTACAAAGCATCTAGGTCCCACTAGCTTTGAGTTATGCATGAATAACTCAAGAATTCTTCAGTTTAAAAAATGCAACACAGCACCAAAGGAAACAAACCTGTAGCACATTTTCACTGCTTCTATGCAACCAAGTTTTGGCTTTGGTTACCCTTAACTGCCTACAGCTGTATGTAATGTTTACCATAGCCATGAGGTAAAACTTTCCCTTTGATTCCTTTCAGGTGCAAAACTCATAAGGAGTACCCTTTCAATGCAGAGTACTGAAGATGGTGGTTATCTGCCTTTCTCCACACTCCTGATGTCAGATGCCTCAGCTGTTGCCTATGAGTTGTTGATCTGTGTAGCTTTCTGACTGCATCAGTCCCTCTTTTTTTTTTTTGCCTACAACGATGCAGTGTGTATTCAGTTAGTTTGTTTTCCTTCTTGTCTTTGGAAGAAAGAAATGGCAAAATGCTTCAGAAGAGCACGCTGTGTGGATTGTAATAGATTGTCTTTGCCAAACTGCCTCACTCAAATTGGTAAGCAGCAAACATTGGCTGTCTGTTACAGCCAATGATTTTTGATTTGAAATACTGGGAGTTGGAGTTAGTTATTACTGTTGTATGGAAGGACTGAGGTATGACAGATTTTTGCATAATTAACTAAAGTTTGGGGAGGGGGTTCATTCATTATTTCTTCTGGGTTTGGTTTTCTTCTTTGTAACACTCCATACTTTCACTTTTTCTCTAATAGGAAGTACTAGTTTCTAAGTTTATCAGTTGCTATGTGCGTAGCTCTTTCAAAGTGTATGGGTTCTGGTTTCCTAGCAATCTAAAAGCTGGTTTTGCTTATAATAAAATGAAGTTTCATTACTATGTGTGATGAGATGGTTATTTCAGTGTTGCTCTAATAGCAGCTGCTTTTTGCCCAGCTGTCCCTAGCCATTACACAAACGTAGGGGTAATAACTGCCTGCCAAATGCTCATCTGCTGTTGGTATGAACTTTTTACATTTACTGCTGTCAAGATGCATTTGTGCATTTGCAGAATGAAGAAGAGTGTAACATAGCTGTGCCCATTGAGACTGCTTCAGCCTTGTTTTAAATACAGCTGTTTTGAGTTTTCTGACAGCTAGTACACTAAAGTGTGGATCATTCTTTATTCTACTTTAGCGTATTTTTGGCTAGTAGAAAACTCCTCTCATTAAAGACAATAAGCTTATACAGAATCCTATAGGATTATTTAGGCAATAGAAAACATGCAATTTTAAGGCAGGTAGTACTTTTGTTGCAGGAAGGACTCTTGTATCTATGCAAGCAAGCTGTTTACAAAGAATAAAAATAATATAAGAGTTTCATGGAAACTTCTTATGAAGTAGCAAATGGAAAACTTCTATTACTGTGTTCAAGTAGGCTTCTCTGCAAGGACTGAACTAATTCAGAGACTGGGAAGGAGGTAGGAAGAAGGTTCTTCATGAGCAGATGAAAGGAGACACTTAAGGTGGCATTTTAAGTGCTTAATTGTATAGCATCCCTTAAAGGGAACTCAGCTTAAAATATTTAATAATGAAATGTTTGTTCATGCTCAAAAACTACTGGCTAGGTAAGTGGTCTTGTTTCCTAGTGTTGTGATGATGTAAGGATGGCTGGGGGGCACAGTAGAGCTCATGGTCCGAGATCAGTCTGGGAGTTCTGGCAGAAAACTGTTTTGGACAGCATTGACTTGCTTGGAAGTCACCTTTGTACGTGACTAGTGTGTTACAGCAAAAAGCTACATTGGGCAGCAAAAAAATCCCATCAAGTAGTACATAGAGTTCTGTTAATTTCCTCTGTTTTCTTTTCACTGTAACTTCATGAAAACTTCTGTGCTGGAAACTTTCCATTCTCCGGGTAGGAATTTTACTGGAGAAGACTTGCAGGCAGAGCACTCGGAGGGAAGTGTGGCTAGTGCTGTGGGTGGAAGGGTATTGTAACAGGCTCGCTCTGTGTTTCACCCGATGACTTGGAAGGAAGGAATTTGGAAAGGGTCATTCTGGGACAGGACACGGTGCTGAAACCGGCACAGGGCTTGAATGGCTGGTGAAATGCAGGAATGGAGGGAAAAGCAGGGCTAATGAAGGGGAGAAGCAGCCCAGGAAAGAGAAAAGGATGCATAAGCTTGAACAGAAAATGGGTTGTCAGGAAGGATGAGGAATGGGGAGGAAGGGAGTGATAGAAAAATGTGGTTACCTGTATCAATTTTGGCTGCTTGAAGGCCAGATATATTTACTTTCTATAAAAATCCTGAGTGTAAGGGAAGAATCAGTGTGTAGATTGCAGCCAACTCCCCATTTAATCTAGGCTGATCTTGGACTTGTTATAGTAAAATAAACCAAGCTATTCTACAGCTACACTGGTGCCACTCTACCAGTGTAGAGATTTCCTTTAATCTCCTAAAAGATAATGTGGAAAGATCAAAGAATTAGATATCCGGTGTCCAGCATTCCTGTGAACAGAGCTCTTCCTGCTATAACTATTCACAGCATTTGTTTTTAATAATGTCACTTGACAGAACTCTGGGTTTCTGATCAAAGAAACTTTTAAGGACAAATATAATCCTGTAGCATTTCCAATGAGAAGTGGTTGGACTTGGGGTTTGTTTTTTTCCATTAGGATCTTGTAGGTCAACTCCTCTTGCATTTTTTTTAACTAGATTTTCTTACGAATGTTGCAGCAGTTAAACAGCTGATGTGATACTGCAGCACACTGTAGGATAGGGACGCCAGCCCACAGGAGAAACACGGAGCTCGGGACAGAAGTAATGTTTCCAGGAGTTAAAGATCCAGAATCAGCTCAATGTATCTGCTTTTAGTTTGCCCTTATGCCTTAAAATTGAAAAGGGCGAGGGTCTAGTTAACCAGGTATCAAGGAAAAAGAACAATTTTTGTGAGAATGGGTCTATTTCCACTGTAGGGAAGAACAAAGAAAACGGTGAACCAGTTTATCAGAGGAGCAGGAAGAGAAAAATGGTGATAGTGGAGGGAGAAGTTGGAGAAGGGAGGACCCATTTTGAGGGGCGAGGGGGGATAGGGCAGAGGGAGGGCTTGGGTGGTAGGAGAGGAAGGCAAGAGGGAACAGGAATCAGCAATCTACCTCTCACATAAAAATAAAGCACAGGACATAAATAGTCCTACAGGCACCGTATGCATTTCAGATTGCTTGGTTTTATATTTGGTTGGCTTTTTTTTTTTTTTTTTTTTTTTTTTGAGGGGGGGAATGTCTTGAACTGTGACTCTGGAACCCTAATCCACAGGCTTGGCAACATGGAATTACTTTCTTTGTATGATGCTCTGTAACTTAATCTTCACCTTTTCCCTCTGGTGAAAGGAAGGTAGGATCTATTTCCTTGCAGGGCTTGCATGATTGATAAAAAGTGCATATTGCAATATTTAGGCAGGGTTGTGAAATCTGGGGCATGGAGAACTTATTTAAAATGGGGAAAAGAAAATCCTGTATTTGAGTTTTTACTCCTTATGTCCAAGATACAACCAGAAATGCAGTCTTTTGGTTAATATGGGCAGAGAGCAGTTATCTCAGGACAAGTAATATTAATTGTTCAGTGCTTTCCTACTTTGTTACTTATAAATTCTACCAATAATTATCAGTCCCTTCTGTTCCTTCCTTGGGGTCACTTTAAAAAAGAAAAGGGAGTGGAGGGGACACAGCCCTGCTCTAATTTTATAGAGCAGGGCCTCGCTCTATAACATGTAGAGGCGACTTCTTACCCTCTTCCATGAGCCACGTTGTTCTTGCGTTTTGGATCATTAATCGAGTGCATGGCCCGGGACCATTAGTTACAAATATCTGCTGACTCCATCTTTCTTTAAACTCTTAAGCAAATAAAGGAAAAACCACCCTTCAATACAGCCTAGCTGTTCTGAATCAGCTTGACTCTGTCTCCTTAGCTGCACATCAAGTAAAATAGCTGGACCTGTTAAAATAAACCTGGTCAGAATCCAGTTTATATGAACTGATTTGGACTAAATGCCACCTCCCGTGGCATCCTGTCTCCGACAGTGTCCAAAACACATTGCCTAAGAATATGCCCAACGTGAGCCTTACAGTGGTATTGTCTCTACCTTCTGAATTTATAACATACCAAGAGAAGGGGTTTTGTAACTTAACCATCCATTTTGTGAAGAATTCGTGACTGGCTTTGAGTCTGGCTCATACATTTACTGCATGTCCCTGATGTTTCAGATTGGAGCTGCACCTAATTTTTAGAGTTCTGGCATAGCTCCCTGGGAGGGTATCTTGGCATGAAAAGCTCACTGAAATGCCTCTTGTAAAAATGACTTGCATGCCAGTGGTCATCCCAGTCAGTTTTCTGTAAGCTTTTTTTTTTTCTCATGTGTGGTCCTCTGTTTTTGTTTCTTATTCTGGTCCTTCTTTCCCTGTGCTTTTAGAAAGTGCAGGGCTGAATGCAAAATTCTTATAATAAATGAGTAGAGACATTTATTAACTCTCTTGTTCTGTTTGCTTTTGTGTGGTACAGAACTTGGTGTTTTCTGTTTATAATCCCAAGCATTCCCACCTGAAAAGTAATGGTAAGCAAAGAATTCTTAATTTTACCCATTACTCATTATTGAGATTAGGCTATTTTCTATCTAAAATATGGGCACAATACATTTTTTTTTCTTTTCTTCCACTCAGACCCATTAGATCTTAATGCAAGTCTGCTCATGGCAGAATGGATACACTGCACAATAAAGGCACAGGTCATGGGACGGTGTGCCCTCATCCAAAGGGAAAGGGGAAATGCTAAACTAAGGGCATTTCCATTCACTGCGTTCAATCCAGCGAGGAGCGTATTGCTGACTAGGAAAGACGGGAGTGCAGGTTTGGTCTCAACAGTTCTGTAGTTTATGGAAACTGAAAGTTAGCATAATCTAACCCCCTTGCTGTAGTTCCACCTGCAAGCAGTGGGTCATACTGCAGAGGAAGCCCTGCAGTGCTCTCGTAGCCCCTGGGGAGAGAAGCTGCTGGTTATTTGGTGAGAAACTTGCTCAGTTCCCTGGAGATCCTCATGGTGCTTTGAACCTGAGGATGCTGCCTTGGAGGATGGAAGAATAAACATTCTTTTCTTGAAACGTTTTCTTGGAGCTTAGCATGTGTTTGCTTGGCTTAAGGAGTGGGGGGGAAAAATCCTGTTATTTTCTGGTGAAGTGATAGCCCTGTAGCCTCCTGCCTACCTCCTCTTGTGATAGATGGTCACAGAGCCTGAGAATTAACAACTGACAAGCTCTGAAAAATGTGAGGGAGACAGAATACCCCCACATAAGGCTACCTGGATAGCAGGCTGCAGCCAGCAGTATAGAAAGGGGAGTACGTGGGCTTACTAATGTGGGGCTCAGAGGAGTGTGAAGATGGTTCCCAGCACTCGGGGATGTAGAAGGACCTCTGTGCTGCAGCTTCCTGCGCTGATGGAACAAGCAAAGTTCTGCTCAGAAGATGTCTGTAACTTTTGTCTCTCCCCTGCCAAAATGATTTGAGTAATAGACACTTGCTCTCTTTTGTCAACTGAATTTACAGCAGCTGTAAAAGAAGCCCAAATCTGTCTCTCAAGGTACAGTAGTCTGAATTGCTAAAACAAAAAAACACAGAATCGACTCTGGAACCAGCAAAAATAAGTCAGGGAAGAAGATTAGGCCGAGCAGTTTCATTTGTATACCAGAAGATACAGTTAAAACAATTCCCGGGCTGCATCCAGGAATATCCCAGGCTAGCACAGGGGAGTTGACTGGATGAAGCT